TTTAAAAAATATATAGATTTTAAATTTTCATTAGTAAAAGTGTTAATTTAAATTAGTTAACTGGCTGATTTCTATATAAATTAGTTAAATTTTACTAATGAATTAGTAAAAATTAGTAAAAGAATTAATATATAGTTGATAAAAAAAATTATTATTATATTAATGGTAGAATGAATTTTTTTCTTTTTCAGAAGTTATCGAGAATTCTTGGTTCCCTTTTTCGCTTCAAAAAGGCTTATCAAAAATATGAACGTCATTATGTAAGTATAAAAACTAGTTGATTTTTAATACGATCGAATTTTAGTTGTAGAATTCAATTTAGGTTAATTAATATTAATAAACAATTAATTAATAATTAAAAACAAAAATAAACGTTCAAATTTGACTAGACGTCAAATAATTATACAACCATTAAATTTTTGATAAATTAAATAATATAAATTGAGATTTTATTATATCATTACAAATGAAATATATTATTTTCTCATATATATATATATATATATATATATATATATATATATATATATATATATATATATGTATATAAAACAGCAAGGTTAGGATGATTGAAGATTTCGTATATATCTATTATGTGTTTGATAGATGGTAATTATAAAATTGTACTTTCGAAAATTATCCTTCCAAAACTGGTAGACTTTAATTTAACGGAATAATCGATCATTAAATCATTTACCACTGACAGAGGTAATTGATACATATGTAGGAATCTTTTTTTTCATTGACTTATTGCGTCGTCGCGTGCTCTCCTAAGGAAATTAAAAAAAAAGACAGTAATTAAATACTTCTTCGAGTACATTCAACTTTTTAATGTAGACATTTTCATTTAAAGTTTAAAAGTGCTTTGGAAATCCCTAGGGTTCCCTTCACTTTCTATTTATTTGATTCTAATTAAAACTTCCATTTTTTTCACCGATAACGAACAAAATTGTGTTTTACTTTCCTTTTAGCAGTTTGTTTTTCATATTTGATTTTTATTTAAAATTTAACCTACTATTTTAAAACAAATAATTAAAATGATACTTTTTTTTTATATAAAATAGCATTTTTAAAAAAACTAAAAATTAAAATTAGAAAATTGTTGAAAATGTTTTCTTTAAATTAAATTAAATAAATTAAATAAAAATTTGTTATTAGAAAACAAAGTTACATACAAAAATAAATCTAAAAAAAGTTCATTAATTTTTTTTACAAAATAATTTTTTTTTTTACTTCAAATATGCTCAATTTAAATCTTATATGCTCTGATTTTTATATTTTTTGTCTTTTATTTTTGGTAATTTTTTTTGTTCTCTAATTTTTTTTTTTTACTTCAGCCTCAAGAACTTTTTTTTTATTTTTAATCGACCTTCACTTTTTTCTCTCATTTTTCTTTTTTCATTAATTTACCTAATTCGTTTATGTCAATTTTACTTTTTACCAAGTTGAGATCCTCAATTAATGATTACGGCAAATTATCTAACATAATGAAAATTTCATTTTTGACCTTTTCTTTCTGAGAATCACCTTTAATATAACAGTTTCTTGCATCAATAACAATGAAAAATAATGAAAAACTTTCGAAAGCAATTTTTTTTTCTTTTTTTTTTTTTTTTAGAAAAAAGAAGAATCTAATTTTAAATACATTCAGTCATTAAATTGTAATTACTATTCTCCTCCAATGGTACTTTTATAGTGCTTTTAGATACTGTACAAAAAAAAATTGAGTGTTTCTTTGTTAATTGACTTAGTGCATAATTAAATATCAGTGAATGAACATATTGTGAAAAGTTATAAAAAGATATGTATATATTTGAATTTTTTTTTTCAAATTTTCTCTAATTGCATAAAATTGTTACAAATTCATGTAATATAATTCGATGTGAAGTGAGATAATATAACGATTTTGAAGTCTCTTTTCAAGAATATAACGATTTCGAGTTCAGAGAACCTTTTTAAATTTACACTCGACTGTGTTTTTTTTTTTCATTCAGTGCAAAATCCTTAATTGGAACCTGCAATTAATTCTCCGATCGACTGTTTCCTCATTCCTGCAGTTTAAGGGAGAAACATGACGAGTAAAAAAATTGATTTCTACAAGAAGAGCTAATAACCATCGTAACAATCTTTACTTACTTTGGAGCCTTCAATATTAATGATTCTGTAATGATTTATAAAAATTCTTAAAGCTTAGAGTAAGAATTTTTATAAGTTATTCTGAAATTTTTTTACATTTCTTTTCCTTTTCTTATTTTTATCATTTTTATTATTATTATTTTTATTATTATTGTTGTTAATAATATGAATAATAAAATAAATAAATATAAAAATAAAGTAAAAAAAAACAAAATATTAAAATAAAATATCTAATTTTAAATATAAAAAAAATATATTTTTATAAATGCGACAATTTTTCCGTTTATAATAAATATTTAAAACGAATTTCAATCAGGATTTCCTATTTGAGAATTTTAATCAGGGATGCAGATTGTAGATTCACTTCTTTGCATATATGCGTAGGTTTGTGATCGTGATTTCTTCTCCATTTCGAATTGAAGGTGTGACTCGTTTTATATGAGGAAGTTTAGAATTCGATCTCCTCGCAACTTGTTTGAAAATAATTTCAAAAGCAAATCGCAAATTAATTCAAAATGAAATACAAGATTCTGTTCTTGATATATACATACATATTCTCTTAGGACATAATTGCAGATTATATCTTCAAAAAAATTAAAATTATTAACTACTTTACGCAAACTTTTAATAGTAAAACAAAGTTTTTAGTATTAATATATAATAATAATAATAAAATTTAACAAATAATAATTGAAATAGAAAAAGTTGTCTTGAAATAGTTTACTCCGGAAATAGTATTTTTTTTTACTATTTCCGGAGCAAAAGTTGCCAGAAATGCATAGAAATTTCGGACTAGAATTTTCTTTAAAATAAAAATTACCTGGTTTTTGTTTTTTACTTTTCAATTATTTTTGCAAGCTTCGCTATTAGATTAGAATTTCCTTTAATTATAAGAGGGCAATTATAATTTTTTTTTGAAAAAATTATTTTCCACTTTTTCCTCTTTATGAAAGTGAAATGTGAAGACTATTATTAAGAAGAAAACGATATATATATATATATATATATATATATATATATAATATAAAAGAGAAATGATTCGTGATAGTCACAATTAAAGTGGTACTATCATCGTGTTATTAAGAATATTATCTCTTCACTTGATGTTCGAGAGCTTCATTATCGGAGATGAAAGAAGTTGGTAAAATAATGATCGTAAGGTTATCGTGGCAGCAGGTACTTAAGCAGCATATATTGTATTATTTGGCGTTGGTAATGTCATCGCATATAGGACCCGTTTTATTACCGTTTGCGCCTTTGTGGCCCAGGGAGTGAGATGACGAGGGTAGGTAACATTGTTTAGAGCTGGGAATCTCTCACGATTGTCCTGCTCCTCATTCTCGTAATAGTCAGTTATTCAAATCTCCCGACTACCGACGAGAGAAAGAGAGACACATTTATCCGCACTCTCTTGAGTAATCCTGTCAGAAAAACCAAATGAAACTCCCAACAATTTTTTTTAGCTCAATTTCTTTTTCAAACTGAGGAAAGGAAAATTTGTCTCAATTTCTGAAGGATATTTGACAAATTTATGTAAGAAATTTTAACATAATTTAAAATGGGGAAATAAATTGTTTAGCAAAGATAAAATCGTTGAAGGTCCAAAAGGTCTGCATGTAAGGAGATGGAGAGAATAAATTTTTTTTGCATTTTCAATGATTTTTCATAGATGGAAATCTTGTGGACTTTACGATTGATAGTTGATGGAATCGATTGTTTTTTTTTTAAAGAAAAATCTTTGTTTTGCGGGTGAATTGAAGTTAAAGTCAGCAACGTTTCTCACGTCTAAAAGACATTGAAATTTATGAACGAGGAAATCTTACTGAATCGCAGACAAACGGCCCGTTCTCAATCGCCAGAACAACTTCTTTGCTGATATAAGGATGAGCGTGGGCGCATATATACTTTTCCAGAATTTCAATTGCATCAATATTCTAATCCAGGAGAGGCTCGATTTCAAACTCATGTACAAGACTTCATTAACACCTTGCCAAATGGATTATAATCCAAAGCCCAAAGTACGAGTTTCTTATTCTCCGATTGATAAAAGAAACACTCATTTTCCTTAAATTGAATCTTGGTTATAGTGTAGAACAGGAAAAAAAAAATCTTTTGAATCAAAACAACTTTTATTTTTAACAAAAATTTATCCAATTCTTTTCATATTTATGAAACATTATTTTCAATGATGGGGAAAAATTTGAAGAAAGAAATATTTTCCCAACAAAATGCTACATTTTTTTTTTGTTGTTGCTCCTAAAGGAATACTTTAATCCAGTGGAACTTTCAAGCTCAGAAATGGCATTTTGCTCGTGAGAGGACTAGACCACATAAAAGGAAAAGTAGTTTCGCTGAATGCGTAAATGGTCTATTCGCGTAAATCGCTGAAGGATTGAGTTGAATTTACTTTTCAATAATACGGAAACGATTATGAGAAACCACCAAACTGGAAATATGATCTTCTGTGAAAGCGAAGACGTTTCCTGAGAAAATACACTGTCGACAAATTAAAACTAAATCGCAGTGATTATTCCCAAAGAAATAACGACAAAATTAATATTTATCTTAAACAAAATTAAAATGTTTCAAAAGAACACATAACAGAAGAAAAAAATTGATTTCTTAATAGACAATATTAATATTACAAGGAGGGACAATATTAAGATTTTAGAGGATAACAATGATATTTCAAGAAAACAAGATGTTTAAAATATTCGAGTAAAATTCGGAAAGCAGAAAATAAAAATGTTTTAAAATCATTTTAATGCGGAAAACAATATCATCTTTAGACATAAATATTCAAGGGAATTGGTATACAATTGCCGATACGGAAATATTGAATTATAAATCAATCAATTATTTACCTTGTTTAACATTCCACGATCCGTGAGCAATTATGATTAGCAATCACTGTCACGTTTTTAGGAAAAGCAGGTAAAATTAAAACCATCAAGAAAATAGTTATAGGATTTCACACAAAAAAGTTGATACACTATTGCAAAATCACACTATACACTGAAAATAATATCCAAATTAATCAAAGATGTAACGTCCTTGTCAGCATCATCTTGACGAGGATAAAAATCCCCAAGTCTTGTCAGAGCACGTGCACTGTTTTCACTTATTCCACTGTTGACGATGTTAATTAGATACTTTGTTATTGTCAATTATTTCATTTCTTATTTCTTTTTTGAATTTACGAATATTTAATTTAGAAACAAATTGTTTACTAGACAACCATCGATAAAAGTGTGATTGATAGTTGCTGATCAACATTCAATTTTGCTGTAGGAATTATGTTTAAATCATTTAATTTTTGTTGAAACATTTGTTAAATTTATGAAACAATTTCAATGTCAGTAATTAATATTCAAGAGTCATCTCTTAATTTCAAGAATCATCTAATTCCAAAAAAAATCATTACTTCCAAAAATAGTCACTGGTTAATTATTTGTTCAGTCTCAAAAAGTCCTCTGAATTTTTGTATATATGTCGATTCTCGGCAAAAAAAGTAGCTATTTTGTTGTTTTTCTGTCACACTCGTGATCATCCAATAGTCATGAAAACAATTTGATTGTCACACACCGAAACTGTCACTGATCACTAAAAATCCGTATCCTGTGTGATTATTTTTTGTTGGGAGGGGTTGATAGTGAAACAGCTGAAGAAGTCGAGAGGCGAGTGTTGAACTGAAGGAATGTTAGCAGAAGTGGATGCTGTGTATGGGACCTTTGGTGTGGAGAAGGTGCCTTCGTGAGGACAGTCGGGTCCTGACTGGCGGGGCCGGCTGTTGCAGGGCGGTATGGTCCTCCTCCTTGTAATGTCTGTCGGTTTGTCCGAGGTTTGCATTAGCGTGGTGTATAATCCCAAGGTATAATAATCTTCTAGCAGCGTGCTAGTGGTATCGCCGCGTGGTGGTGAGTAAGCGTGGCGAACAGTCGCCGATCTAAAGTATAAGCAAGTAAGAGTGAGTGAGCAATCACTTGGGGGTCTCCGATGGGCGGGGAGGAGACCGAACTCGTAGGTTGGTGGGTAGGTTGGTAAGTAGGTAGGTAGGTAGGTTGGTAGGTGAATCGGTGTGGATGAACGGAGCGGTCGCGGCGAGTTGTGGAATAACCGTGAGATACGTCGGGAAGGTAAGTATATTCTCGTCAGCCTGATGCCGGCACGCGACCTGCCCTCCCTCCCCCTGATCCGCTTCACAGTTCCCTGCCTGTTTGCTGCTGCTGCCGCTGTTACTGTCCTTCCCTTTCCCCCCCAAAGTAAAACCATCTCGCCGATCCTGCCACTGCTTCCACTCCTACGATATAGCGGATAGCCTCCTCACAACTCCCACCACAATCCTCACTTTAACTATCGACAGTCTCCTTTGCTATATGCGAGAGCAAACCTCCCAACTCATTCAAATCCTATCACTCCATCTGGAACCGTTACACTTCCAGTCAAGAAACAACAGTCCTGCTCCCTGGATGCCCCACTGGGTGGAGTTTCTCCACCGAGAGAGAGAGAGAGAGAAATTCTTTGTCTTCCGAAGGACTGCTCTCTTTACCTCGGAGCCTTTTATGATTGATCGCCTTTATTATCTGAACAGCTATTGTCGTTGGATGGTGTATTATCTGCTGGACCTGATGGTATCAATCTGGAGAACTAATATCATTCGAGACTGCGTTGTAATAGGAGATTGAGAATTTGCAATATCATTAGGATCTTTTTAGATCTAGTTTCATAATGACAAATAGGATTTGTTATATAGAATCACTATTATTGACGAAACTTGTAGGATTTATGGGTCTAAATCTAAACTCTACTATCAAAAGTAGGCTCTTTGGTACCACTAGGATTTATGGTGCTTCTATTGTCCATGGAATCATTCTAACAGGATCTATAAAATCTACTATCTATAGAATCGCAAATATCCAGAGCTAAACAAGTATTTGCATATCGTTGTTCTTCTATAGATCCTAGTTGTTCTGTAGAGCCAGTACTTCTATTTCTATTTGCTTTATAAACATAAAATCTACATGGATCCTATTTGTTCCATAAACCTAAGGTCCTAATTTTTCATAAACCTAATAATTTAGTAAATATTTCCACGGACTCAGTACTTTTATAGATCTTAATCTACTAAGATCTATTGAATCTCTAGGAACTACGAAATTGATAAAATTCATAAGAAGTTTTTAAACTACTAGAAAATCGCCAAAGTTTATAGATCCCAAATATACACGGAACCTCCAAATTCTATAATTTCAATGATCCAGAAATAAAGTAAATGAAAAATAGAATAGACAAGGATGATTCTTAATAAATATATATAGTTATGAAGATTTGCTTAAGAGCGACAGATAATAATAAAAAGATGACAATTGAAAATGAATCTAATGGTTCATTAAGGATGATTTTAATTGATGTCTCTTTTGAAGTGCAAAGGTGAATTTCTCAGCAATGATTGATTTCTTCTATTTAAAAGAATCTCAATCCCTGATGGATAATTTATCTCTCTATATGTAAATCCCACAGAGGACATCTCTTGCGATGGAAAATGTCATAGAAAATGATTTGTAGCAGTTAATGACGAGGGACATTTGATCTCATTGAAAATAAACTTAAAAAGATGGATGACTGAGAAATTAAATACTAAATGAAAAAAAAAATTAAACCAAATATTTTGAAATCTTTCTAACACTATTTTCTACCAAAATCGTAAAATTAATTAAATTTTTTTGTTTAATTAAGTAACAGTGAAAGTTGCGTTTAAAGAGATGAATCAGATAAAAATAATATTTCATTTAAACTTCTTTGTGAGAATTTAGAAAATTGTTCAGAAATGTTTAATTTTTTAATTAGCGAAGCTTTGTAGCAGTCACGTGTTTAGTATCCTATGGTTTGGAGAACGGGCGAGACCCTGTTGGATCTTCAGAGGCTGATGCTCCCACTCCTTGTCTGTAGTACTACTCCCACTTACTCCACTACGTTGAGGTAAACTAATTCATCTATGCAACTGTATATATGCCCCACCACTCACATTGAAGAAGAAGAACACTCGGGTTGTCCTAGGACCATCTCTGGTCTACTATATTATACAGTTACCATAACGAAAACATTTTTCTAAATGTAAAGTATATGGAACACCGATTCATGTAGGGATATTAGGATTTATTGAAAAACTTGGATCTAGACAACTATTAGGTATATTAAACAAGGAGTTTGAAATTTAATAAAACCTACTGATTCCATAAATGGATCCTAGTTATCCTAGTTCATTAATCCTAGTTATGTTATGTAAATTTTATATTCTGAATGTTGGATGGGTAAATTAAAGTGTCTTGCGTTGTTGCTTGGGAGGTGACGAAGGAAAAAAAAAATTCATCCTCGTTCATTGACTGCAAAGAGAGTCGCTTCCGGTGTTTACGAATGGTCTGACACCCATTGTGAATGCGACACAATTGTTGTCGGCTTGGTTGCGACAATAAACGACATGCCATCCTGAGATGTTGTTGAGATCCTCTGTGTGTTTGCATCGTCACACATATATATATATTGTCATCGTGCATATATCGCCCTCCTGGATTATTTTTCGCGTAGGCGATTAATGATGGGGTCTTAAGATGCACACACGTGTACCTACACGTGTCCCTGTCACCGGGCAGTCACAATAGTGAGCCGCGCGCAAGCTAAATTCAAGCCGCCCTGTGGAAAGTCATCGTACAGAATAGAATGCGAAGGGAGCATCCATTGTCGCAAGTCGCGACAACGCACAAATTCCGACCCGCCTTTAAAAGTCCTGAAATATCACGATCGACAATCGACCCTGACAAGACACCAACACAATGGATATTTAATCTCTCCATTTTCCTTGTGGCGAGCCTCCAAATGGTACTGGGTCATTATGCAATTATTGTATAATCCCTTCATTCCTGTTATTAACACTTTTCTTTAATTAATACTTCTTTGTAATTATATAGTCGATTTTAGAGACACACGGTAATAAATATCATAAAGGTATATATACGTGTTAATTATGATATGTAGGTTATTGTTGACATTCAAAATTTTTCTACTTTGAGATTTATTTTTTCGAAATTTTTTTAATGTTTAGAACTTGTTTTGTAATAATTTGGTAATTTTAATTTTTATGATGAATTAGTTATCAATAAGAATAAAAAATATTTAGAGGTGTCTTCAGTATAGGAGACCAAAATATCGACGAATTTTAAGAATTAATTTAATAATGTATACTTAGTATTTATAATCTCGACACCTTTGGCGTGAAATAAAACACACTCGGAACATAAAATTTTCCACGAAATCGTTGCTTTTTTTCATCAGGGTCCAAGTATATTTTAGTGCTTTTGAAAGTGTTTGAGGTGATACTGTATCCTTTCCCATTCTCATGTTGTCCATGAATCGAGAAGCCCAATTAACCGTTCTCCGTGAAAAGAAAAAGTTACTGAAGGTAATCCCTCTCGTCGTTGTCGCCCCCCCCTCCCTTCCCTCCCCCTTATGAACCAATGATGAGAGACTGGGCCCCAAAGGTCGCAAAAAACGAGGAATCGTCGAAGAACGAAGACTCCCAAGAGCTCCTCACGTTTCCTAACGTTTTTACAACTACGGAACGCCCTGAGCTGCGGTAACTGTGTCAGGACGATCGAGAGCACGGTTGTGCAACCAGATAAAGCAGATCACGAGGATCCGATGCTATGGTCTCGTATTCTGCCTCCTCAATTTACTGTCTTACTCCCATTACACTTACACAATTTCTTTATACACGTGTAGAAATAATAATCAAAATTCATTAATTCGCTTTTACAATTCTTCATAAATTCCCTTATTTTCTATTTCATGGTAAAAAAAAAGTAGGAACTCAAAGTGACGAAGAAGAATCCAAATGGGAAAATTGAATTACAAAACATAAGTCGGAAAAACTTGTATTATTCCTCTATATATAGTAGAATTGAAACAGCGATGAGAGATAGGACGATTCATGTTTCCCTAATTTGGAAAAGT